GGCGGGGATTCTCGCGCCTGCGCGCATCGACATCTTGGCGCGAGGGAAATCGGCACCCCGGGCGGGGCAAGAAGGGGGTGGGGCTTTGCTGCCGGCCGCGTCTCAGCCTTTCCGCACTCCGCCAATACAGGAAGGAAACTCGGTGCCTTCCAGTAAAGGGGATTCGGAGCAAATGCAGGACGAGTCACACGGTGGAGTCCTGCACCGGTCCATGTTGCAAATGCATCGAGCGCCCTGCCCGAAGCCCAGGCCCTGATCCGCTTATTAGGGAAATGCTGGTCTGTATAAGACAAGGGCACGTTTATAGTGTCCTTCGTGGGGTGCATCCTTAAATAAAATGCGCCATAAAGCATTGCAGCCATCATGCCATTGCCAATAAGGAACTCATTCAGCACTTCTTGAATAAGTGCATGAACGGCCAAATGCCCTCCTCTTTTCCAATCAACACCGTGAGTATGTCAAAAGTGGAGCAGAATATCTGGTTCCCTCCTATTACGGTTAAGCTGAATTGCAAGCTCCTATGGCTTTAATGTCGAGCCACAGCACAATAAAAGGAGTGCACTGAAAAGGTCCATTAGCCCCTGACAAATGGTTCCAACCTTGGAATTATTTGACCTCAAAAGGATTGCTTCTGAATTGCCAGTGCGTCTGGTTTCAAGGCAGAATGTTTCCTGGTGAAACATTTTGCATACCCTTACTCATTTTGAAAGAAAACAGGCGGTTTCAACTGTGCCCTATTTGTATTTTCTTAGAAGGCCTGTTGGGCCAAGATGGATTATAAGCACACTGGCAAATAAAAATTGTGCCAAATGCCTTTTCTCACTTTTAAATTAAGAGAATCTACTGATAAGTAAATAAATAAAAACAACCTAGACACCCATTACCTGTCCCTGGCTTAGATGAGTAACTAATGAAAGCATAATATATGCCTGAAACAACCCCGATTATATTTCAAGAACATTTCCCCTTCTGTTTACTTCTTGAGTAAGGAATTACATGAGAATGAATAAAAATCCTAGATTTCACTAATCTGTATGTTATTAATATGGATTCATAGCACATTTATTTCACTTCATTTCAGATTCATCCTTTGCTTTGCATGCATGGATATATCACATTGTGCTCCTTCATCACCTGGCAGCCAGAGAAATATCAGAGGAAGTACAGTACTGTATAAGGGAAACCAATTCTTGTATTTTTTGAGTTATAAACAGATGCCCTCTTGTGTTTCTAATGTATAGAACTCTTCCAGACACACTCTTGTCAGTCTTAATTTCCAGTTCATGAAAATACAGCTAGTGATGGACAGAAGGGCTACACCAAACTAGAATCAAGGTGGGAAAAAATGATATTTCTATAAATTTGTTAAAGATTTACGTTAATTTAAATTACCTTTCCGTATCATCTCAAAACCTGAGCATTTCCAATCGATTTTCATGTTCTTATCAGTTCGGGGGTGGGGGGGACTGCAGGGACTGAATACTGTATGTACTTAAGAACAACCAATATTTTTTGTCAGTATTAAAAAATGGAGCCCATCCAGATTGCATACTTTTGTTAATTTCTGCCTCTTTCCTCCTCCAGCTTTGTAATTTAATTATTTAATTATATGATTATAATTTATTTATTTGTAATAGCCTCCTATTATGACATTTATCTTCAAGTGATTACCCCTCTCATGTAAATTTCCAGGGCACTTTATTTACATTGTTTACTAAATGATCAAGGTAATTTTACTTTCCTAAACATAGCAAAATTTTGTGACATTATGTATAAACCCCATCCACAGATGATCAGTAACAGTTAACAGTGTAGTCAAGGTGCTTGTTTTGTTATGGATGGCTCAGGACCACATTGATACAATCCACTCACCCAGAGCCATCAGACTGACTCTGTCCATAAATCTCTATTCTATGGGTTATGTTTAGTTCTTTAGCCGTAAGCAGCATCCCTTCTATTTGCCAGATTATTTTACACCATCCTCTTACGGTTACATCATCAGTGTTCGGTATTGTTTTAATTATAGATATTAGCGAGAGAGTGATTTTATATTTCACGTTAGCTGCTCTTAATTATGGTTAATTATTATTCCCTAGTTTTATATATATTAAGGTCCAAATTATATAAATCAATATTGTGCTGAGTGGGAGGGGTCTGTTTCTTTTCCATTTTGACTGGATTTAAAGAGCAGCAAGGGTACTTCACACATGACAGAGGGACCTATTTTATCCCTGAAAATCCCCCAACCCACCAGGCCCACTTGGGTTCTGGCTTACAGGCCTTACAAAGGCCCTCTGAAGGAAGCCGCTCACCTGCTCCAACTTTTTGCTTTCTTCTCCATCCATAATCTTCTGCCCGAGGAATCCTGTGAAATTCAAAAGGCCACAGCCTCTGTTGTGAGTTGGACTTAATTAAAGAGACAGGGATACCACTACCGTGTGAATTTACAGATACTTTGGACCCAGTCAGCCAGACGGAAGTCAGAGCAGCATAGCTGTCTGGGGATGGAGGGCAAACGACAGGTGGGGGATGACATCATTGTGCCATCATTATGCAAAAGCCATAGCTGATGCATGTACACTACAAGTGCCTAATGCTAGCCTTTGTTGGCATTTGGGTATGACTGTGGTTTGGCAAGCACACCTCTGCAGAACAGACAGAATTTTAAAAAAGGGAAAGAAGAAAGTGTCTTCTGAGTTGAGCTTGACTCCTGCTGTCTTTAAGAGGCGCCCATTGGTTTCTAGTGGTTTGTCACTGCCTTTTTAAGGGATGTTTTTCCGACTTCCCAATCGGGCCTACAGTCTGGGGCTTTCCTAGTGGTCTCCCCTCCCAGTACTAACCGACCAGGTCGGAACCTGGTGGGCTTCCTCCTCCCAGCCCGCAGAGGGCGCGCGCCGCCTTCCTTCACGTCTCGTCGCCGTCCCAGTGGGCCGCTCGGGGGCGGAGCTACGCGCCAGGGATAAGGGCGCCTGCGCGCCTCTTTCGGTGAGCCTCGCCACCCGTCATGAACGCGGAGAACTTCCAGGCCGGCGAGAGGCTGGTGAACGCGGCCTACGTGCGGCAGGGGTCGCAGGGCCGCCGCGCGCACGAGCTGCGGGTACGCGCGCTGCTGGAACAGGTACTGCTCGCTGGAGCGGTTGGGAAGGAGGGAGGGGGCCGGTTTCGGCGGAAGCCCCGCCCCAGGATCGTCTGGCAGCGACTCACGCTGCGCTTGCTTGGGCTGCTTGTCTCGGCCGGTCAGTCCTTGGATGGGAGACCACCAGGAGAGCATGGGGCCTCCACTAGGTTCGCCTTTTCGTTCTCTGGACTGTCCTGCGAGGTCGCTGAAGTAGGGAGTGGCGTGAAAGTGGCAAGAAGGGATGTTTTTCTGTGCTGAGCCAGAATGGGGGGGGGGGGTTTGTGTGGGTGGGTGAACCCTGCCACAAGTGAGAGGCGGACCCTCTGTGGTTGATTGAATCGACCATAGTGAAAATAGTGACTAAGTGGAATGTATGGAAGAAAGGGGGGTGATGTTGATATAGTACATTAATTTATGCTTTAAGTATAACGTGTGTCCTGCTTAAAAGCACACAACCGCTGGATTCATACATTATACAGAACTGTGGCTTGATTAACCTTGGTTTAGCAAATGTATCTCAATTGCCTTAGCTGAGATGAAACAAACCTCGTTATGGCATTATTTTTAAGACATAAATGGTAGCTCAGGGCAGTGTTTCTCAACCTTGACAGGTTTAAGCAGTGGGGACTTCAACTCCCAGAATTCCCCAGTCAGCATGGGGAATTCTGGGAGTTGAAGTCCACACCTCTTAAAGCTGCCAAGGTTGAGAAACACTGGCTTAGCCTGGTATATGATCTTCTTCTCTCTGAATGTAATGGGAGACTTCATTAATTTGGCGCCACAGGAGTTGAAGACTAAGCTAAGTTCCCCTTGAAGGAGCCCCATCAAAACAATGGCTTGGCACATCTCGGTGACGTGCCTCGCCCATTCAGGCTCCTGCTCTCTGCTTTTAACTATTTTGCTGGAGGGGGGTCATCCTATGCCTTGTTCAGTGGCAGGGAGAAGCTTCTGCCACCCCTTGACATACCCTGGGCAATACAGTAAGGAAGATGACTTTTTAAAATAATAATAATAATAATTAAAAAAAAAATGAAGGCAGAGTGTCTCGAGCAGACTCACGTTGCAGCTGTTTGAATCCCCCCATTACTGCATCGGAAGTCTGGAAGAGAAGGTTGACTTCAGTGGGACTTTCTCTTCTGGGTCTGCGGGATGACCCAGATGATGTTAAGATGCAAGGGGTGAGGTAAGTAAATCGATGACTGTCGTTGGGTACAAACTATGATTAAGGTGCTCTGCCTAAACTATGGGCAAGGTTCTGGGAGTGCACAACACACTTGGCCTTGAATTCTCAGGGCTTACCATTTGTGTGCACATGGCCTCTGTATCCAGCATTCCACTGACCCTGGTTTGTTCAGGGGAGTGTGGCTTAGCGTGACATAGTGAGCTGCCTATAAGGTATAATCATAGAAAAAACTAGGAAATCTGCACCTGGCAGAGGAGAAGGAACATGCAAGGCTATTGCCTGCTTCTGATTTCCAATCATAAAATGAGCCAACTATCATTGCCCTAGTTTAACATGGCTGAGCCTTTTCTGTACAACATGCTGACCTGTGGTGAGTATCACTATGTTTTACTGAATTAATTGAAACAACAGCATGTACCTTTGCATACTTTACTTATATTTTGTATTGTCCTGTTTTTTTCTGAAGGGCAAATGTCCTGAAGCTGGATGGGATGAAAGCACGATTGAACTCTTTCTTCATGAACTTGCAATTATGGATAGCAATAATTTTCTGGGCAATTGTGGTGTGGGTGAAAGAGAAGGAAGAGTTGCATCAGAGTTAGTTGCTCGTAGACATTACAGGTAAATGCTGCTTTTTCAGGTGATTTGTTTTGACCAATATTTATTTTGACATTCCTCTAGTTTATTAACACAGGATGCCAAAAAATATAGTCACTTCATTGTTGCATCACAAATTATGCCATTATACTCATACTGTGTTCAAGAATACAGGTAGTCCTCGACTTATGACCACAATTGGGACCGGAATTTCCATCACTAAGCAATGCGGTTGTTAGGTGAAACATCACGTGACCGCACCGCTTAGCAAAAGCAGTTCCAGTAGTCCCAATTACAGTCGTTAGGCCAGGATAGCACTTTCATTAGGCCTTCTCCTCACCTTCTCCTGCCCTGCTCACCTTTGCTTCAACTCCCCCCACCTGCCTATCCCCCCCCATCTCTGCCCTTTTTGCTGCCCTGCACTCTGCTGCCTACCCTGCTGCCCACAGACCTTCGCCTTCGTCTTCCTCCTGCTGGGATCCAGGTGCTGGGTGAGAGTGCAGCCCTGGGATGTGCGCAATGAGTGTGGCAGGGTGGTGGAGCCTCGTCTGCCAAAAGGAGCTTGCCAGGCCCGGCTGGGGAGGAGGCAGCGGGACAGCGCAGCGCTCTCCGTTGCCTGGCGAGGCAGGAGAGCTGGTGGCGGATCCCCAGGCGATGGTGGAGGCTGTGCGGGAGGCGCTGTTTGGGATGGCAACAGAATTAGAGGAAGCAGAGGGACGCAGGCTTCCCGGAGGCGCAGGCAAGGTCAGTGCCACCAGAGCCTACCCGCAGGCCCTCTGCTTGCTCTCCTAGCCTTTCTCCCGTAAAGCCGAAGCGCCCCTGGAGAACCGGTCTGCGGGCTTCAGCACGTTGGAAGCTGCTGGCTATTCGCGAGGCTTCGCAGGAGGGAGGCTGTGCCAAGAGTGAGCAGAGGGCCTGCGGGTAGGGACTATTAATGTGAGCAGATTTTAGCATTTCCCATAATTTACCCAAATTTGGTGTTTCCTTGCTGTTCTATTAACAAATACTTTGTAGAATGGAATCAATCTGGAAGTGATGTGTTCTTTTTTTTTTCCTAGTTCAATTTAGTTTTATAGTCGAATCTTTATCTTATATTAATAAGAACTAGATATTTCTTTTCCATTATGTGAATGCAAACTCAACTGAGTTGTAATATCCTGCAGAGATATGGCATTATGGTCGCGGCAAGTTGAAGTGACCCTTACAACAGGTTAATTGCTGTTAATATGAAGAGAAGCCAATTGAAATTGGTTTCATTTTAAGAAAGCAAACTGCCAAGCCAGCTCCATCTTAATGGTCCTAGGTCATCAGCTACTTGATGGTGCTACTTTAAAGTTGCCCTTCCCAGTACATTGCAAAATGCATGTTATTTTGCTGTTTCAGACAGTCTGAAATTGTTGTTCTACCTGCCTTGTAATTCAGATAAAAACCCTACTTAATTAGGCTGTGCAGGGCTTCATTTGATCTCCAAGAATTGCTAGGAGCACGCAGGAACACTTTTTGGAGAGAGAATCAAAATACTGCGTATCTGTAGTTCTTAAAGTGTTCAATTAATACACTTGAATGCAATAAACTAACATTGATTTTCACAAATGTTGGCTTAGCTTATTAGGGAGGAATCCCTTAGTGCTTTGCTTCTCTCTCTTACAGGAGCTCCTTGAGAAAAGAAAAGAAAAATATCCATGTCTGCCTCAGGTTTCTCTCACTTGTCTGGGCCGTAGAAAAAGTTTTCTTTCATCTTTCATCACCCTTTGGAGAGAACAGGAAGTATTGCGAGGACCTTGCAGGGTCTGGGCAGTATCGAAGTCTGGCCCATGTTGTACAGTTTCCAGAGTGTCCTATAAGAGAGGAGGAAAACAAACCTAGATTGCTCTTCCACCTCCATTGCTAATATTAGAAAAACGCTTGGTTCTCTCTCTCCCTATTTGCCAGACTGTATTACAGCAGGAAATTCAAGGAGGGTCCTGTAATCCTTATAATAGGGTGCTAAGTATAATTCCATTTCTCTTGGCTTTATCTCTTCCCACCTGAACTTTGTGCCTACAGTGCAGTGTGTTGTATCGCAGCTTCTGTGTAGTGACACATTTTGAATATTAATATTTTGTGATTCCAAAATTGTCTTACTCAGCAGAGTAGGAATTCTCAAGTGTTAGAGGGCCTCCGTAGCCCTACTCCTAGTTTTAATAAATATGCTCGCTGGCTGCTGTGTTGCCCAGCCGAAGGGCCATTAAGAAACAGACAGTCTTGTATTATAATGTCCTGTGGGTGTGTTTTCAGTCCCAGGCAGGCAGTGAAAACAGGGAATGCGTGGTTGCAGGCTTCCTTCATCTTGATGAGGCCTAAGTTATGGCAGTCTGATAAATGTGGGACAACTATGATACTGGTAAGTATGGAAATCACAAAGCCTTTTAAAATTTGGTTTGTGATGCAGAATTTCATCAGCTAAATCAGAGGGCAAAATAACATGTAAATGAAATACCAATGCTACGGTGAAGTTTATTTCTACAGAAGCAAATTCCTGCTCCTATTGTAGGATTCCTATTGTAGTAATGTTTTTAATTAAGGTTTTATGTATTTATATATTTTATGTTTTTAAGGTCTGTTGTGAATCGCCCAGAGTTCCCCCATTGGGGGGTGATGGGCGGTTGAAAAATTAAATAAATAAATAAAGTTCCCCTTCCTGTCTGGAGCCATTGTGTGGTCCACCAGCCTCAACCAAAGAAAATTCCAACCTATCAGAGTAGATCTGGGGGGTAATTTTATACTTCCCCTACAATTTCACCAAGAGGAACTGCACCTCTATCAGCAAGATTTCATTGCATCCAGTCCTTCGTCTTTCAAATTTTAAATGTTACGTATTTTCACCAATATTCTGTTTTGTTTCCAGATTGATTCATGGGATTGGAAGGTCAGGAGATATATCTGCTGTCCAGCCCAAAGCAGCAGGCTCTAGTCTCTTGAACAAATTGACTAATTCAGTTGTCTTGGATATTATAAAGCTTGCTGGTAAGTATGGAGCCAAGTTTGTGTTTTCTTGGACAAATGCACACAAATCCCTTAAAAGTTCAGATTTGAATTCTCATTTTCCTTGCAGGTGTCAAAACAACAAGTAGCTGCTTTGTGGTTCCCATGGCAACTGGCATGAGCCTCACCTTATGTTTCTTAACCCTGCGGCACCAGAGACCAAAGGCAAGATACATTATCTGGCCCCGTATAGACCAGAAATCTTGCTTCAAATCAATGATTACCGCAGGTACGCGTGGTCTTCAGAGGTGGGAGCTGGTGGCCTGCACAGGATTGAATTTCATCACATTGCTTTTTTTTTTTTTAATGTGCATGCTATAAGCATCATTGTGGAAGTGGACAGCAATAACATGTTTCAACTAGCTGGAGGATGCATTAAATGGGGTCTATCAACTCTGTTTTTTAGACTGAGTACAGCTCTTTCAGATGCATTACACACGGGTGATTTTGAAAGGTTGTGGCAATAGCTGGCTTGCTGTCAGGTTTCTTCTTAACTTAGTGCTTATGAATGGCCTCTACCCTAATATAGCCTGCTGCTTCCGCAGTTCCTTTTTTACTCATAGCATAAGATGTGTTTTTCTCTTTTTATAAATTTTAATTATGTATTTATTTGTTTTAATTTGTTCTAAACCACCTGGAGTCCCCCATTGGGGGGAGATGGGTGGGGACAAGTCTGCTAAATAGAAATAGAAATAAGATATGTTATCTAAGTGTCCTTTCGAGAGCCAGCTTGGTGGAGTGGATAAGGCCCCAGGCTAGAAACCGGGAGACTCTGAGTTCTAGTCCTGCCTTAGGTACGGGGCCAGTTGGGTGGCCTTGGGCCGGTCCTTCTCTTTCAGCCCTCGGAAGGAGGCAAGGGCAAACCACTTCCGAAATCTTGCCAAGGAAGCTGCAGGGACTTGTTCGGGCAGTTGCCAGGAGTCAACACACTTGTAGGCACTTAAAGAAAAGAAAAGGAAAAAAGTGTCCTTTAAAAAAAAAAAAGTCATTCTATTGCTTTTTGCCATTTTAGCAAAACTTCCAATGTTCCAATGATATCAATAAAGGAGTGAGAAAATAGGGAATTTTATAATGGCACTGGCCATAAGTTTTTATCACAGCTAGCATTTTAGCTGGCATGTCCTGACAGGACAGTTGGATCTCGTGGCTTATGTAGGTATACTTTGGGAATTGCAGGGATGGCAGATACATGCAGCTTTTGGAGCTTGTATTGTCCTTGATTTCATGGTTTGGTCATTCTCTTCCTTTGAGAAAGCCTTAGTCAACTGATCTCATTCCCTATAAATCTGGTTTGTGCCCACGCACCCAGAAAAGATTCAGGTTGAATTTCTCATACCTATTTTGATTTTTGCTCCTTTTAGCCAATTGCTCTTTGTTTACTTCTTTATCTAAGTACATCTTCATTCATTTATTCATTCATTCATTTACATTAAATTAAAAAAACGAATCTCAGAGTTCAATGCCTATATTTTTATTGCAGTCTAGGCATGAACATTTTCTCTAGACGTGTTCCCTCCTTCCCTTACAAACATACACGCATCCCACAGCCTGGTATTTCACTTTTAAAGATTGCTTTCTTTTTTTCTTTTTTTGTCCACGTGCCCTCCTTGATCTTCCTCTTTGTAGCAATTGAAATATGAAGCAAATTCTGTGCAGTAACAGTAGCTCAGCTTCTAGCTTTGTAGGGCTTTGTATAGGTGGGAGGATGTTTGGATGTGGTTATATTAAAATAAATATCAATTTATGCAGTTTCGTCTGAAGCAAAGTTTTATATATATATATATATATATATATATTTTTTTTAAAGAGGATTGGCGTTACTAGTTCCTCTTCCATAAGTATTAACGGCTGGAAACTAGTCTGGCTGGATCACTCTTGTTTGCTGCTTTTTCTTGTATTCTCTTGGATGGTTGTTGTTTTGACAACACAGTTGCTTAATCAGAATACATGTGCTAAGTTTTCCCTAATTGTTTTTGTATAAACAGGACAATTCACATGCACCTCCCTACCAATTCTCCACTGTTTGTTTGTTTTTTACTTTCAGATAGTAACAGAGATGCCTTCAAATAAAGGAGAGCTGCATTGTTTTCAAGATCTTTTTATTCATTTGTGGGACATCTTTTTATTAACACATTGTGGGGCAGTGGTCAGAAAGGGAGTACCACATTTTTTAAATTGTCATTCTCCCCCTGCCCCATCTTAAGTCTTCCAAAGTAGAGCGAAAGGAAATCTTTAGTAGAGGGGGCAACTAGATAAGCAAAAGTCGGCTTTATAACTCTCTGCCTTACTCATTTAACCTATCGTGAGAATGTTTTAAAGTTGTTGCTCTCTGAGCTTGGTGGTTTGCTTGCAGACATTTCATTACCCCACTAGGTAACATCATCAGTGCGAGTGATGGGGGGTTTGCTCCTTGCTTATATGCAGTAGCTTGCCCTGCCAGTGTTGGTGGGGGTGTGGTTTTCTCCTTGGTAGTTCCTTGATTAGGGTATTTTCAAATTCAAAATTATATGACACATAGTGATGCCCTGGCTTGTTGTACTAATTCTGGGGCCCCAAATGTGATACCCATGCCTACCTCCGTTGATTCCCATCAGGTTTGTTGTCTTTTGCTTGTTGGACAGGTCACTTTTTTTTAGCGTCAACGGTGACTTGGTTGTTCCATGACTGGTCCCACCCACCGGGGCAGTCAGTTGTCAAGAGAGGAATTTTCTTTGAGTTCTCCAACATACTTACAACTTTCCAAACATGTCCAGTGGCCCTCAGATGTTGGGTATCTTCAAAAGGAATGCCTGCTTGTATGCAATGTCCATAATAAATAATCTTAAATTTCAAAACTAGTTACTGTCATACATAAATAGAACTAAATCAAACAATGAACTGGAAGGGAGGGGGCTGCAGATGAAAGATTTAATTGCAGAAGGACCCTGGATGCCCACTCATTCATTTTTTTTGTTGGCTGGACTAGGTTTTGAGCCAGTGGTGATAGAAAATGTTTTAGAAGGTGATGAACTACGTACAGATCTCCAGGCAGTGGAAGCTAAAATCCTGGATCTTGGGGCTGATAATATTCTCTGTGTTCATTCTACTACATCATGTTTTGCTCCAAGGGTACCTGACAGGTAAATAAATCCACATGAAAATGTTTGGTAGCTCTAAGCGTTTGAAGGTGGTGGTGAAGCTGCTGGCAGTAAGATCTGGCAGAGCTTCAGTCGGAGAGGGATGAGGGAAGGAGAGTCCCTGGCTGTTGCTGGCTGCTCAGATTCTGGAATGGGCTAGGGCAGGCAGTCAAAACATGGTACTAGTAGGTAGAAAAACAAGTTTTGATCCAAATAAGAGTAGAACAGGATCAGGTTAATCAGAATTGGGATTGGATTCTAGGAAGGTGGTGTGGGAGGAGGGGATGGCCCAGAATAATGATAGGAAAAGATGGCTTGAGAAAAAGTGGGGGAGATTGGGCCAAAACAAGGTTGCACACAGTTGGAGGTCAATGGAGAGGACCCTAATAACCGTTTTTGAAATAATTTGCCAGATGCTTGATATTGTTGCCCATAAAGCTCAGGCACCTGAGTTGGCATGGAGCTGGAAAGAACCTAATTCCTGAATTTGAGAGAGAAACACGCAATACCTTTGCAAATACTCCCCCCCCCCCCCCAAACGACAATCTGAACCACGAGAACTTCAGGCAAAGCAAAAGGCATTTTATTAAGGGGGCTCAAGTCTTTATATAGGGTACAGAAACAAATGATGATGCATCAGAAAGCAACAAATTGAACAATAAAAGGCACTGAATAGATGTGAAAAAAGACAGACACCCTTAAAATATGTTGCATCTCTTCCTTTCCCACCCACTTGTTTTTTTAGCACTTGCAACTTTAATCAAGGACTTCAGAATACAGCCCTATTGTTTGATTGATGTCCCTGAAAGGGCTAGTTTTTGCACATCAAAGGAAATGGCTTTGGCTCAGAGGAAAAACATGGTTTCCTAAACTTCAAAAGGAGGCATGGATGCCATGCTAAAATGCTTTACCTTTTCCACCTTTATTAAAATGCTAATAATAAAGCCTAAAATTCTACATAACAATATGACTTTTTCATTACAATACAAATAATTAGAAAAATGTACACATTTTAAGGCGGATTTTATTGATGTTTTGGGTGAGGCATAGACGCAGTAGAATTCCTTTGATAGTCCTACTGCAGGCAGTGCGTTTTATGTTTGTATCATTCCCGCATCAAAGCAAAATTTCCTGCCCATTAAAAAATATTATGGCTTCGAGGATGGATACACTGACTACACCTGGACCATCCTGTAAAGGGAAAAGCTCTGGGGAGGGTTGAAGGGGAGTACGTTTATCTATCTGAAGAAGTGGGCAGGCTATAAATATATGTGATAAATTGTCAAAGGCAAGTGCCATGCTAGGGGTCATTAGAAAAGGGATAGAAAATAGAACAGTCAGCTTTGTAATGCTTTTATATACATCTGTAGTATGTCTACACCTGGAATATTATCTGTGGCTCTGGTTGCCACATTTGAACATGGATACAAGAGAGCTGAGAAGAGGGCAACTCAAACTATTGGGGGCTCAAATGAGAAGAGGTTAGAGGGCTTAGGATGGGGAAGGAGGTGACTGAGAGAGGATGTGGAAAAATCGGACAGGAGGATTTTCCCCCCTCTATCAAAATACTAGCATCAGGATTCATCCAGTGGAGCTGGTTGGTAGGAAATTTGTAACAAATAAACCAAAATCCCTTTTCCACACTGCACATATTTAACCTACAGAATACAGTGGTACCTCTAGTTACGAACGCCCCACTTACAAATTTTTCAAGATACGACCAGCTCCGGCCCCAAAAATTTACCTCGACTTGCGAACTCACCTTGACTTATGAACCGGATCCGCGGCCATTTTCCCGTCCGTTCCACGTGGTCTGCGGCCGTTTTTCTGCCCTGCTGCGTGGTCCACGGCCATTTTCTGCCCCTGACACGTGGTCCGCAGCCATTTTTCCGCCCCTGACACGTCCACGGCCATGTTTCTGCCCTGCCGCGTGGTCCACAAACGCCGGAACGGATTAACGGTAATTACATTGAACCTTATGGGAAAATTTGCCTCATGTTGCGACCAATTCAAGTTGCAACCAGAGTCACGGAACGGATTAAATTCGTAACTCGAAGTTCCACTGTATATAATCAAGGAGATGGTTATTGCCATTAAAATTCAATGGTTTTAAAAAGGGAGTGGATAAATTCATAGGGGATCGATCAGTCAAGGGCGATTAGTCTTGAGGATTTACTGTTATCTCAGGGTTGGGGGGCTGCAGACCTCCATATGCCGGTTGCAGTGGAACAGTAGTGGGAAGGGGCTACCTCAATCTCTCCTGCTTGGGAGCACCCCAGAGGCATCTGGTTGCTGGTTATTGGAAACAAAACGGCAGACAAAAATGGGCTTCAGCCTTGGCTACTCTTTTTAAGTTCTTAGAAGGAATTCCTATGATTAGGAAAAATTACATGAAAAATATCAAGGGGATATTGCATAAAAGAAGTAAGACATCTGACAGAAGACTGTTAACTTCATTTATATCAATAATACTGTTGGTACTTAATTTGGAGGAAGGTAATTCTAAAAGAAGTGCATCTCTTGAAGACCTAAAAGTAGGATGAATCTCACCTCATCAGCTCTTGAAGCTATTTGTGGATAAGCAGCCTCACCAAATGTTGCTCCAGCTAGTTCTTTATTCTATTGGTTTGATAAATGTATATAAAGTTCCATTAAGCCCTTTTATTCTGAACAGTTAAATCAGCAATAATTAAAGATCTTTTTTTTTTAGTTTCATAAAATACATCAAAACTCATTCTGCACACTATGTCAGCAAGATTTACAGTATATGAAATAATAGCAAACTCTACTTAATAAAATATTGTAGATAAGAGACTTGACCCCTGTCTCTCTCTTCAAGGTTGAATTATAATTTTGTTGGTGATTTGCGTTTGTACATGGAAGATGAGCCAGTGACTAAGCGAATCAATTATGATTGCAGTTACAGCGTAATGAGAACCTTTATCCTTCAGGTTAAATTGTCTTTCAAGGCATGTGGGTAAAAATGTTCTGGAAATAATTTTTCTTATATGCAAATAGGTATCTTTGCAATCACGTTGTTACAAATACAAGGAGAGATTTTAGTTTTCATATTATAGAGTGATACTAATAAGACTTTATTAATGTTGTCACTTGACATAATTTTTAGACGTTTGACCTACATTGCTACATTTTCCACATTGCTATGGAACTTAACAATCAAATTGTCATTTCTGGATCTAAATGCATGGCAATTTATTGGTACCATGGTATCTCCAGTTATTGGATGAGTGTTCCCATGGAAATCTTAGCATTTTTGTGCATTTAGAGTCAAATAAAAGTCAACAGTCCAAGTAATTTTTTTCCTTTTACTCTAAATGAGTTTGGCTAGTCTAAATTGATTTTTTTTAAATATAAGATTGATTTATTGATGTGCTATATATTTCTGCAAGAGAACCATGAAAGCTTCCAAAACTGGGTGGAAGAATTGACTAACTTGAAGTCTCTTACGATGGAAATAAAACAACCTGATCTAAGGCCACTGTAATTTGCCTTTTGTTCATCCACCACCATTTTTCCCATTCCATCTATTGTTGTGCTCACTCTTGTTCCGGAGACTATGAATTTAAAGTATCCAGTGACATTTGTAAGACTTTTTTGTTATTAAAGGACTGCCGTCAATCCCTGAAGGTCACACGTTTATCTTTTCGACAAATTTCCCCAATGCTGCAACTTCAGAAAATAACTTTTTATATATTTCTACATTGGTTACAACATTTTGTCTAGGGATCAGGTCAACACTGTTCTGCTTAAAAGTGTGCAGTATTGTTTTCCATTAATATACCTTTAAATATAAAGAACATTTAAACTGTATTTCTCCTAGTCAGTAGCTCCATTGAAGGAGGGGAGGTCTTGTACCCTACTCCAGCCCCCATGTTTTAGGCTATAAGTTGTTCTCCTTATATAGTCTATATTGGTTTGTACTGGTCAGTGATCAAGATGGTGATGATGATGATCTTCTTTGTTCTGCACTGAGGCTTTAAATCTTCATGCACCCACTTAGCTAGACCCAATATGTTTTATTCCTGAACAGGCGTTCATCAGATAATGTGATTGCTCTACAAACCATGCCCAAATTAGAGTTGCTTACATCCATCAGTTTCATTGTCTAAATTAGTCTAACTTTGTATTAGAATGTGACCTCTATTTGTCCTTGAAGGGAAGATATCCATGCTATGGTTGGGACATGAAACTGAGGATCATTAATTGTTTTGAAGCATTTTTCCTGTTGATTTTACTTTGTGCTTAGTAAACTAATTATAACACTTAAAAAATGGAGAACTCAATATACTTGGATTGGTACTTATTTCCCTAAACTAGGACTAGAAATTATTCCCTTGCTGTCTGGGGTGGTTGGTAATGTTAATGGAATACTTGCACATGTACATTCTCAAAATGTTATCACAGCATGGTATGGTATGGCATCATGTTTAAACAGGGCCACTGTATAGTTCAAGTATATGTCTGTTACTCTATATTTTTAATAACAAGGAGAGGTTTAAGTGTAGGGTGTTTTAGTAGGCAAAATTAGATTTCCCCAACTGGGTGTTCTCTCAGTGCACAGAAGGTAGCTTCCATAGTTCCCAGTTAGCAGACTGAATTATTAGATTTACAGTCAAGGGCCTCAAAAAGGTTGAGAACCTGACCTCATAGGAGCTTAAATTCTAGTACCTAGCCTTCAGTTAATATCATCTTATGAACGCCCACCTTTGGACTGGAAATCCTAGTTTCCATAATTTACTTAAAATAGTAACTTCATCTGACTCTTAAAATTCAAGTTACACTTCATTCTTCTTGATCCAGGTGTAACATCCTGTTTCAAAATATATAGAACTTGCCCACTCTGATTTTTCAGTTCTTGCCTTTTCGCCTGAATTTTAATTTTATATTTGCAGATTGGAGGAGTTGGCTGAGATTTGCATGAAGTATGACATCCCTCACATTGTCAATAATGCTTATGGAGTTCAGTCTTCCAAGTGTATGCACCTCATTCAACAGGTAAGGTGTGCTTACCTCACATGCTTCCTTGTTACTTTACTGCCACATAACATATATATCAATCAATCAATAGCAACTTTGTGTTTGTAACTTTGCCAGTAAACTTAATTTATTTCCAATGAATGAATATTTATTTATTAATTTTCTTCAGTTTAACTTGTAATTTTGCAAAGTTTGTGATCTGAACCACTGTTAGTACCAGGCCTTCATTTTTGCTGATTGAATAGAGCTTGTCCATCATTGCTTGCAGAATATATAGTCCATTTGATTTTGGTCTTGCTCAAAATTAATAAAATGACACAGTATACAGTGCTTCCTTTTTCACAGATGCAGAAGATGTGGAAGTTAAACAATTCTATGATGACTTCTTACAACCTCTTGTTGAACAACATCAGTGAAAGACAACTTATTAATTATAAGAGACTGAAATGCTACAGTTGGGAGTAAAAGAGCATTCTGATTAATGGGAAATGTTTGCCTTTGTGTATCAAATTAAGTAGGATAAAGACTAGTAGAGTTTTGCTAGGAGAATTCAATATTTATAGTAAATACCTCGTTCTAAGACATGGATGTCAACCAGATGAGCAAGACCAAAATCAAATGGACTATATATTCTGCAAGCAATGATGGACAAGCTCTATTCAGTCAGCAAAAATGAAGGCCTGGTACTAACAGTGGTTCAGATCACAAACTTTGCAAAATTACAAGTTAAACTGAAGAAAATTAATAAAATCATCAGACCAACAAGTTAGGACCTCAGCAGTATTGATTATGGGGTAAAGGTAAAGAACAGATTTATTGGATTATATTTGATAAATGGAGTGTTTGAAACACTCGAGTGAAATTCATGACATCTTTAAAAGTTGAAGCAAATAAAAAAATTGAAAATATGAAAAGCAGAGGAAGATGTAATGGCAAATAGCTAAAGAAAGGCAGAAAGCCATAGGTAACAGACACAAAGGAGAATTCACCTAACTAAATGCTGAATTTTAGAAGACAGCAAGAAGATTCAATGAGTTATACATAAATAAGCAGTGCATAGAAATTGAGGATAGCAGTCAGATGAAAAGAGCAAGATGTTTATTTAAGAAAATTACAGAAAGGTGACATTTTATGTAAAGATGGAAAAGATAAAGATGACAAAGATCTACTGGAGTAAACAAGATACAACAAAAAGATGACATGAAGATACAGAACTACTATACAAAAAGATCCCAAAATCAATAATACATAAAAAGGTTTGATTACTGAACTAAACCCAGATATTCCGAAAGGTGAAGTTTAATGGATCTTAGGAAACATTACTAACAATTAAGCTTCAGGAATTTATGAAATACCAGCAGAACTGGTTACAATTTTACAGTATGATGCAATTAAGGAGTTTCACGTGGTGTGTAAGCAGGAATGGAAAATACAGGATCAGTCAAGGCACTGGAAAAGATCATATTATACTCCAGGACTTAAAAAAAAACACCTACAAGGAATGTACAGATCGCCGAACAATTGCACATATGTCCCATACTAGTACTGTAATACTCAAGATTTTGCAACCCAAACTTCAGTGAGACTTGGAAAGGGAACTGCCAGATGTATAAACGACACAAAAGAGATGGCACCTGAGATCCCATTACTAACATCCGTTGGATAATGGACAAGGCAAGAGAGTCCTAAAAGGAGGTCTAGTTTTGCTTTGTTGATTGTAGACCATAACAAAATGTAGACAGCCCTTAAAAGCATGGGTGTAGCTTATCTGCCTAATGAAGAATTTGGGTGATGGAAGCAATAGTTAGAACAGAGCACTGAACATCTAAATCAGTGTTTTGCTGGCTGGGGAATTCTGGGAGTTGAAGTCCACGCATCTTAAAAGTTGCCAAGTTTGAAAGATATTGATCTAAACGGTTCAAAATTGAGAAAGGAGTGTGCCAAGGTTGTATTCCATTATCTTATTGAACAGGGTTTGTAGTCTGGAATGTCTGTTCCCAGACATTTCCTACATTCTTTATTCTACATATGCTTCTCCCCCACTTCATTTTTGGAGATGGCACTGTATTAAGAAGAAAGAAGAATTCTTTTAATTTTAGCTGTGCTGGTCAAACTTGTTTTTCATGTCACCTTAAAAAGGCTTTAGGCACGTATTTCTTAGGACTTTACAGTGCTACAGCTTCAAGGTGCTTCAGAAGCACAAGACTTAAGGGACTCATTAAAATAGCTGCGTCTTTTTTTAGGCTCACCCGGCTGCTGCAAGGGAATATTGCCAGATTGTATCCAGAGGGTTGCAGACTCCAAGTATTAATGGCTTCATTGTTTTATCCTTAGGATAACTTATGTGATCATCATTTGGTAAAAGGCCAAACACGTGGACTCTGAGGAGAATGAAGTTTTAAGTTTCCTGATCTTGTGTATGGCTGTAGGTGCTCAGGTCATAAAAGATGCAGCTTGTGTCTGAAGGGTGTAGAAATTAATAACTTAAAAGGATGATATTCAGGAAGACTAAAGGAAAGGGAAGCCTGAATGACTTGAAATATAAGCCTTTAACCGCTGCGCTACTCTGAGGCTGGACGTAAAAGTAAGCATTGTAGGTTGCCAGTTGATTAGCCACATCCCAAGCTGCTGCTTTGCCATGTTGCCCTTCCATCCTGGAGCCACTAGGGAACACCGCTCCCCTGCAGTCCATCCTTCCAGTGCAGCCTGTCCCCACAGTTTGAAGTGTTGTGATTAGGGGCTCCCAAATGGCAGCCCCATCCAGCATCATCCAGTTTGACTTACCAACCACAAGAATTAGAGGAGGTGTTGTTGTCGTCATCGTCATCGTCATCTCTGTTCCTTTCTGCTGGTGTTAAGAGTTTTTAGCTGAATTGCTTTAGGCTGCTGCTATTTTTATGTATTTATGGTTGTTGTTTTTTTAAAGCTTGCCTTCCTGCCAATTAGAAGCTTAAGCTAGCTAAATCAAAGATAACATACAAATGAGAAAACGGTTTAAATTATTATTAATGTAACTTCTTAAAAGACCTGGCTGAACCAGTCTTAACCCCTTTTGCAATGGGTTCCTAACTGTCCGTGCTGCAAGACTCAGCCCTGCTTAGATGACCAAAGGAGTTCACATCCTATATTCCAGCCCAGAGTCTGACTAAAGTGGGTCCAGATGATCAGAATCCTCCAGAGATACTTGGGGTTGTATGGCCATCACCTTCTCAGCCACCTTACCTCAAAATGATGTATTCAAGACCAGCCAGTTGTTGTTTTTTTTCCCAGTTGCTTCCATCACCCAAATTTTCCCAGTTCTTATTTAAGTGAAGCAAATACTTTCCTTGCAGCGAAGCTTTAATGATCTCTCTTAGCCTCAGGATCAGACCTATGTGCCATTTGTTCTTTATACTTTATTGTTTTCATTGCTCCAATGCTTTTCTCTTTGGTTTTTACAACTTCATAATCCCACTGGACAGTTTTGTTCAAAGGAGGGAGATTAGAAGCATAATAAAGAGGTGTATGTTATGTTCAGTGTAACAAAACAATCTCATGGTCTTACTCGGTGATATTGTTCCTGCCCCAGATGGGAATAGCAGTAGCACTTAATGCAGTGTTGTCCAAACTTGGCCACTTTAAGATGAGTGGACTTCAACTCCCAGAATTTCTCAGCCCCCCCTTCCCGGCTGGGGAATTCTGGGAGTTGATGTCCACTCATCTTAAAGTGGCCAAGTTTGGACAACACTGACTTAATGCATTTTGCTGAAAAAGAAACACCTACATAGACCACATGTGGCTTAGTACATTGTGTGAACCCAGCTTAGGTTTATACCATAGAAAGAAGCTTGATCAGTTTCATTCTCTTCCGGTTTTTGTGCCTGTCTTTTTAGGGAGCACGAAGAGGCAGGATAGACGCCTTTGTGCAAAGTTTGGACAAAAATTTTATGGTTCCAGTAGGTGGTGCTATCATTGCTGGCTTCAGTGACTCCTTCATACAAGAAATCAGCAAAATGTATCCAGGTACCTAGTTTTTAAATTGATTTTTGGAGGGTGGAAATGGCTGTAAAAAATGTCCCAAGAGGGTTGTTTTCGCAATGAGAGCAGAAATGATTGATGTCTTTCTTTTTCTCTAGGAAGAGCCTCGGCCTCTCCTTCATTAGATGCGCTCATTACATTGCTGAGTTTGGGCACAAAAGGATATCATCAATTACTGAGAGAAAGAAAGGTAGCATTTCAGAATTAATGGATCTGAGATTGCAGTTTTCACTTACAAGATGCATATAGCAGACATTTGTAGAGGTTCAGCTGCTGTGTTGAGCAATCTCTGAACTCTGGTTTGTTTTGATTTTTTGCAAGTGGCAGCCAAAGGTAGAACAAATCTTAATCTCTGGTGTGCTACTCTTTACATTCATAGGTAAGATTAAGAGAATGTGACTTACCCAAGATCATCCAGTAAAAACGATCTTATCATTGACTTGCTAGTTCTGGATTCCCAAATTAGCTAGGTTTCGTTCTCTTCACATCTTCTTGATTTGCTCTCAGGTTGGAAATCTGTGCTGCAGTGATGGAAAAAGAGAGAATTGGTATGAGTGCCTCGGCTGCTCTGTCCCGTCTTATGAAGTGTATGGTATACACATTGATCAAAATAGATTTGGGGAAGGTCTTGCAAGATCGCTAGCGACCATCCCACTTCTCCCCTGCGAAAAATAAGTAGAATTTAGGCTAAGAAACATTTCTGCAAGGAACCGTGTCAGTTGGTATTAGCAGATCTAATCCGATCAATAGGATACAATTTTCCTATTCTTCCATAGCTTAAAATGATAAAATGTAATCACAAGTGCACTTTCAGTGTAAGATTCAGCAACGTACAGGGGACAGCTCCTCCATGTTGAATTGGTGTTGAATTCTGTGTGTTTTTTCAGAAGGGCATCAAAACCTTCAAAGCCTTAGAAACAAGAGGACAAAGGTTAGAAGCAGCTGTTCTGGTTCTACACCCATTTCAATATATATGATTCACATTCAGAATGAAACCCATTTAATTCCCGGTCCCTGTCTTCTCTACTTGAGTCATCAGAATCAGATAATAAAAACTATTTCTGGACGATACCACTTCAAATTATTGTGGGCGGCAAGACAAATGAGTGGAATTTAACAAAATTATAACCCAGAACATTAACGCTGTGGGAAGAAGGATAGGGTCAAATTGTCTCGCCACCACTGCACTTTCCCAAAGCTCAGAGCCATTTTGGAGCACAGAAATACCAGTGATAAATTGAAAATTAGGTTTTGGTGTTTTTATAAAATAACATTGAAACTTAGGCTCTGAGTTTACACACAGTCTATTACTTGGGTTGAACTTAACTCCTTGAATGCTGAATGTATACATTTATCCTGCTAGAATATAAGAGGAGGGAGTTACAAGAAAAAGATACTTTGGTTTTGACAATCTCTAGATAGAACTTGTTTTTTTAGCACTAATAAAACTACAAAATAGAAAACATACTCTTCAACAGTAGGGAGGTGAAAAGAATGATAGTATGCAAACTTTGTATACAGATTTTTCTTGCTACGAAGCCTTTAATAAATCAGGATTCTATAATGTCACAACCTTTCTCAGATTCGTATTACTTCAGTGATTGAATCTCATGACTTATGCATCTTTAGTTCTGAACCCTTTTATGCAAGCTTAGTGCTATTTTACCTGATGAGACAGAAACAAAATGGCAATGTCATCTGAAGCAGGAGCCCATATGATTCATAAGGGAAACAACGGTGGCATTTGTTCACTTGCTTGTAAAGTAAAACACACATTCAAAACTTTAGTAGTAAGTCATTGCTGGAAGTAACCTCTTAACCATGACAATCTTTTCCACATTTCCAGCTGCTCTAGGAATCTTTTGATATTGAAGTTAGACTAATAACTCTTAAATGAACTACAGGGGGATAATAACATACCCACGCTAAATAAATTATCCACGGCTTCTGCAAATCCAGAGTACAAGCAGGATAGGTCATTTGCATGCTCCTATCAATTTATTGTGTATGGCTCTGATCTTACCTCTTTCCAATTAGATAGAGAAAAGTAATCAGGGCAGGAGCATAATTCTGTTATGTCCGTATCTGTTATAGCTGGGCTGGTCAGTCACGCCTAAAGCAGAAATCTGGCCTAATGCCTGCTATCACAGGAGGCTCCCTATTTTGTCTCTGTATGAGTCATTGTGATGCATTTGCCAACTCCTTGTAAAGAGGCACATTACAAGTTACTTGCTCCAAGAAAAGTCATGGGGTGCTGGGCATCCAGGTGGTAAGAAGTTCCTAGTGTTTCTCCTAGAAAAGCTCTTGAACATTGAAAGAAGGAGCTGCTATGTCTATTCCCTTCCTCCATCCTGAAGGTTTATTTTGATGGTGCGTGCCTTCAAGTCAATATTGACTCCTGGCGGCTGCCTGGACAAGTCCCTGCAGGTTTCTTCGCAAGATTTTGGAAGTGGTTTGCCCTTGCCTCCTTCCTAGGGCTGAGAGAGAGTGGCTGGC